CACATGGGAAAGAAAAACTGGACAACTTCCTCACACACCTCAACAGCCTACACCCCAAAATACAGTTCACCATGGAAACAGAAGCTAACAACCAACTTCCCTTCCTGGATGTCTTAGTCTACAAGAAATCCAATGGCTCCCTAGGACACACCATCTACCAGAAGAAAACACACACAAACCGCTATCTGCACGCTCTCTCACACCACCACCCAGCACAGATCAACTCTGTAGCCAAGACACTCATCTCCAGAACAAAACGCTTAGCTGACGAACAACACCTAAAACCCGAACTACACACTCTCACCAATGTACTAACATCCAATGGATTCCATAGAAATAAGATTACAAACCTAATCCAAAAAGAAACCCCCACTAAAATCCAAGACAAAGAACAAGAAAACGGCAAAGCCCTCCTCCCATACATAAAAGGCACCACAGACAGAATCAGTAAGATCCTCCATAAACACAACATCAAAACAGCATTCTGCACAAACAGAAAAATATCCACCATCCTTAGAAACCCCAAAGATAAAATTGAATTAGAAAATCAAGGAGTATACGAAATCCCATGCACCACTTGTCCCACCACATACATCGGACAAACCAACAGAAGAATAAGTGCACGCATTGAAGAACATAAGAACTCAGTCAAAAAAGAGGAACCAACATCTTCCCTGGTCCAACACCTTAAAGCCACAGGACATGAAATTGACTTTAAAAATACCAGAACCATTGCCAAAAGTGAACATTTTAATAACAGAATAATCAGAGAAGCCATCGAGATAGAAAAACGCCCACACAGCATGAACAAGCGAGATGATACCTCCCGCCTACCAGCCATTTGGAAACCTGCCCTTATTGACAAACGACTCCCTAACCCCAAAATCTTAAACCCCTCTGCAACTCAGACTAACCTGAGCACAACCAAACAGAACACTCCCCCAGCCAATCAGAGCACAGCCAAGCCCCTAACCATTCAGAACACACCTCCACCCAATCAGAACACAGCCAAGCTCCCACCCAATCAGTTCATACCCTCACTGGCAGTTAAAAGGAAGAAACAGCTAAAACCACACATTGCTGCTCAAAGCAAGAAGCTAAAAACACCAGCCTGAAGATGACGAATGTGACTTCGTCGAAACGTTGCCAAGACACTTCCAATTTTACGCGGGAGAAAACCCGAACAACCAAAGACCTATATATATATATATATATATATATATATATATATATATATATATGTAGGTCTTTGGTTGTTCGGGTTTTGTCCCACGTAAAATTCGTCGCCAAGACACTTCCAATTTTACGTGGGACAAAACCCGAACAACCAAAGACCTACATACAAATACCCGCGAAAACCTCAGAAAACATATATATATATATATATATATATATATATATATTATATATATATATATATATATATATATATATATTCAAAATCTTGAATCCCTCTGCAACTCAGACTAACCTGAGCACAACCAAACAGAACACTCCCCCAGCCAATCAGAGCACAGCCAACCCCCCAGCCAATCAGAGCACAGCCAAGCCCCTAACCAATCAGAACACACCTCCACCCAATCAGAACACAGCCAAGCTCCCACCCAATCAGTTCATACCTCCACTGGCAGTTAAAAGGAAGAAACAGCCAAGACCACACACTGCTGCTCGAGGCACGAAGCTGAAAACACCAGCCTGAAGATGACGAATGGGACTTCGTCGAAACGTCGCCAAGACACTTCCAATTTTACGCGGGAGAAAACCCGAACAACCAAAGACCTACATATATATATATATATATATATATATATATATATATATATATATATATATATATATAATTACTTCCCCAAGTAATTAAATTGCTGCTTTTCTTTTCCTGAGGGAGTGTGGCAGAAATTCCCTTTCCCTCTCTCATCGAGGGGAGTGCTTTGGACAGTTTTTCAGGAAGAGATCTTAAAATCATAAAGAGAAGATCAGGTCTCACCCAGTTTCATCCACGTTGTTGTAATGTTGCTTGTTGGTGCTTCCATTGTCAGCAGCTTAGGACTGGCTATATGAATGGAGCCAGTCTTTCCCCCACCGGTTTGGAGGGCTTCCTCAGATAAAATGGGGGGGGCTGCCACTCCCCCATAATCAACATGGCTCCCCTTCTTGTTGCCTCTATGGAGTGACTTTCGACTGTTTCCAGGGTGCCCCAGTGGGGCAAAATTGAACATGAAAGATGGAGCCCCGTCTTTCTGTGTCTGCATCACCACAACATCAAAACTGGCAGCCAAGTATGCTGTCTCTTTGAATTGTTGTTAAGCAACCAGTTGTAAGTCAAGCATTATCTGTTTCAGGGAGTTGTATCAGGTTATTGGCTTATGGTAACATAATGTTCCAACAAGAGCGATCCTTTTCATATATAATACATGAAGTACAGGGAATACTGAGCTGCCTCAGACAGGCTTAGTTCCCAGTAATAATTGTATCATCTTGAAGAGGTGGAAGGAAAGCATACTTGGATTTTAATGTGAAATAGAGAATTGTGCTTTTATTTAATTGGCCAAGAGTTTGATTCTGCTACCTGTCCAGTCATACCCTGAGCAAAAGAATCAGTTCCACTCTGAAACAAATCAGTTTATTTAGTCATTGATGATTTATATAGCCACCCATCTCACACAGGTGGCTCAGGGGGCTTACAGGACTATAACAAACCCACCAGAAATAACCTCCCCCAAATCCGAGAATAGACAATAACCACCTTCACCATCAATAATTACAGAGTTTATCTACCCACCTGATCCAAATGTCTTTGGGAACAGTCGGGATTTCAATATTTTATGAAACACTACCAGAGTTGAGGAGATCCGAATCAATTTGATTAGGGATAGTCATTTTTTTTAAAAAAAATTTTTTTTTACCATTTTCCTTTATACAACTCTAGTACATATTCAACAGACTGTGAATATATACTTTGGATTAACATTCTATACAATATATACACTATATACATTCAATATCTAACTCACAATAACCTTATGTGTATTTCCAATTTTTGTTTCTATTATCTATCCATGTATACCATTTATACCGTGTAAAATTCTGAATCGTCTTTTTCTTTTTGTTCTGAAGTGAATTTATCCATTTTGGCACATTCATATATTTTCTGAATGATCAATCCCTCTGGTGGTATATTGCGTTCTTTCCAGTATTGCGCGAACGCAATTCTTGCTGCAGTTAATATGTGTAGAATCAAATATTTTTATTTTCCTATTACATTTCTTTTTAAGTATTCCTAGGAGAAATGTTTCCGGGTTTAGTTCTATTTGGCATTTTGTTAGCTCGTGTAGCCACCCTTGTATCTTAGTCCAGTATTTTTTTGCTTTGGGACACAACCACCAAGCATGAAAGAAGGTACCTTGATGATGGTTACATTTCCAACATTTTGGGCTTATATTTGGGTACATTTTCTCCAGGCTTGCTGGGGCTAAGTGCCAGCGGTATAGCATTTTATACTGATTTTCCTTATATGCAGCAGATTTAGTTATGGTGTAGTTTTTCTTCCAAATTCTTTCCCAATTGTCTAATTCTATATTGTGCCCTATGTTTTTTGCCCGTGCAATCATCGGTTCTTTTACCATCTCCTCTACTCTATCAAATTCTAATAAATAATTGTATATTTTGGAAAAATGGGCAAGCTACAACTATCACTTCTAGGTAGGATCGTGACTATTAAGATGAATATTCTACCCAAATTATTATACTTATTTCAGACAATCCCCATATCATTAGACAAGAAGTTTTTTGGAGAACTTAATGAAATTATTACAAAATTTGTTTGGCTAGGGAAGAAGGCGAGGATAAAATTACTCTCTCTCCAAGATAGTAGAAGTAGGGGCGGCTTTGGACTCCCAGCAAGGGAATTCTACCACAAGGCAGCAACTCTGGTCTGAATAAGAGATTGGGGTTAACTTAAATAACAGAACAATTTTAACACTGGAAGGGCACGATTTACAGAAGGGGTGGCATTCCTTCATGTGGGACAAGGAAACAGGACACACTCATATTTCTATAGATATAAAATAAGAGATGCATTGTTACGAACCTGGGAGGATATAAGGAAAAAACATTATAGGAAAATTCCTGGTTGGCTATCCACCATGGAGACAATGATCCACCCCAACACGTTAGACATAAGCAAAATGCCCAGATACTCAGAAATTTTAGATAAACAAGGAAAGCTCAAAATTAATCAGTTATTAAAAGAACAGGGAATATCTATTGATTGGTGACCATATTTACAACTGCAATTTAGATACAAGAAAGATGTGGAAGAGTATGGAATAGATACGGAACCAAAACAACTAGACAAATTATTGATAGGCCCCGAAGGGATAGTCACTTTTTATCCAAAACACTATCTTGTAGTGCTAAGTCAACAATACTAGATCACAAACTACTACACTGGGAAAATCAGAGTTAGATGATGCTAGGGGGGGGGGGAATGTGCATTAGAGTTTAGCTAAACATAACCATATAGGACCTGATGTGTGAATCAAGGTTATTGAAATAAGAGATGATAAGAATTGGTGGACTGGAGAACTGGAGAGAAAGCATTGGAGAATTGGATTTATGATTGCACTGGAGAATGTGATTTATGACAGTTAATTGGAGGAGGGAATTGTGTTTTGATACTATGTGCTCAGGGGAGGGCAATTCAGTTTTTGGCTTCGATTATGTTAGTGCTGACGCTATGCTTCTCTAATAAAGATTCTTTAAGGTAAACAATGTCTTGAAGTTCTTTGAAGAAAAGTTTCATCTGTCGGAACCATGGCACACAAGTTGTTTGTCGCAGATAAACACATTTAAAAAGCCTCCACTAATAGCTTTATAATAATCTACCTGCCTCTAATATTACCTGCTATGTAGAAGTTGGGATTTTTAGGAGGGGGGCTTTGGGGATCTGATACCATGTTTCAAAGTGTTTGTAATATTTTTCCTCCTCTTTCTTTTAGATATATCATTTGCTCCCATGGTTAATGAACTACCTCCCAGGCCCTCACAAGAAGGCCCTGGCTTCTGTGGATTTGATCCTTACCTTTGCAAAGCAGGAACTAGAGAAACACAAGGAATCTCACTGTCTGCACAAGCCACAGGATTTCATTGATTACTATCTTCTTCGGATGGAAAAGGTATTGTTCTGTTTCCGAGTAAAAGGCATTGAGACGAGCAGGAGTAACAGTCTTGTCTTTATTCCATTCACAACAGAACCAAAAATGAAATGGGGCAGATTGCTCTTATACCCCTTTGCAGGGACAGTATCAGCCAATCAATGCAAGGCATTTATCCCACCTTGTGCATGCGTGCAAGGCGGGAGAAAGCCTGTCTGGTGCCAGGCATTCACGTGGTCTGCCCGGGCCTCTCTGCAGCCTCCTGCACCAGTTGAATGACTCAGCAGGCCCAGGACATAACAGGTATAGTTTTATTGTAGCTCAATACATGAGAAAGGAATCATCACATTCCTTGCTATAGGTAAATAGAAGGAAATACTGATTCTGTCTTCCTTCTTCCTAGATTTTTTTTTCTTTTTCATTCAACTTCCATTCTGAATATAGCTCATGGTAAATTCAGGTTGCTTCTCTTGGTGGTTAAATCTGGTCCGTGTCTTATTCCAAGCCAGTAGAGAAATCCAAGAAAAGGAAACAAATTGAGGCAGGCTGCAGTGCGAAAGGAGATTTACTGGCCCAGTAACAGCAGTGACAACAGCAAACATTTCTGGGGCAGCTAGGAAATTGGGGTTGTGAGTTAGCTAGGTTTTATATGTTTCTGAGTTTTTTCTAGTTGATGTTTTGGGATTTGCATAAAAATGCGTTCTTTCTATGTTTTTTAGGTTGGATATAATATTTTAATTGTCATTGCAAGATTTTCTATTGTGGCATGTGGGATCATGACTCACCTTAAGGGCAAAGGGAAAATGTAAAACAAGTGTTTTGTTTTCCTGATGTCCCCAATTTGAGTCTGAGCCTGTGCCGAATCCTATGAAGAACACCAGAGATGAAGTGCAGGTATTGTTTCCGTGTATTGAAGCGCTCCAAGAAAAAGGGTCCTGACTAGAAAATGTCAAGCAACCTTGAACAATAGAATTAAGAAAGCTTTATAAATTTTCACTAAAACAGAAGGTGGAATAAGGTAGGATGTATAAAACCAATCATGTAATAAACATTTTAGTAATGATCTAACCATCATCCTATTGGTCTCTAGCCATCCCTATTCCTAAAACTTGACTAATGAATTATCAAGGAGTTATATCATACACATTGTATTTGCTACAGGACATCCCTATTCCTAACTTCTACCGGAGGTATGCAGGATGTCTAACTTTTTGCTATTGTCCTCTAACCATCTAGAATGGATGCAAGTGTTACACGTGCATATTCTCTGTGAATAAAAATTCTTTGTTCTTGCCAGACAGATTCCACAATTGCAGGCATCCCAGTTTTCTTTCAAGTGCATGTCATAGCCTTGCTTCATTTTAGCAGACAGCCCATCACTGATTTAATCTCGTTTCCGTAGTTAGTTTGAACTCCTGGTCTATTTTGCCATCTATTTGGAGATCGCTTTAGCCAAACAATGTACACATTGTTTTATGTATGAAATTTAATTTCCTTAAGCTTTATCTGCAGGTTATTTTAGGGGAGGAAAAACTGAGGCTCTTTCTTCCTTTGTTAAGGAGATTTTTCTGCTCTTATCCTTTAGGTCAGGGCTTTTCAAGCTTTCTACCGATTGTACCATTTTAGGATATGGCAATATTCGAGTACCACCTAGCAAGGTGTCAAAAACTTGATGACCAAAAAAAACCTGTTCAAAGTTGCAATTGCACTGAAATGACTTATGACCATTTTCACACTTATGACCATTGCAGCATGCCCAGGGTCATGTGATTTATATTTGGATCCTTGGCAACTGATTCATATTTCTGATGGTCACAGTGTTCCAGGGTTAGGTGATCCCCTTCTGCAATCCTTTGACAAGCAAAGTCAATGGCAGAGCTGCTGGTGGCCAAGTGCTAAGGCGGGACTTCCTTTCCTTCCTCCCTTCCCTGCCTCCCTTTTTCTCATTCCCATCTCCTTCTGAAGGAAGAATTTAACCCCCCCCCCCATATTTTCCCTCTTTCATATATTGATCAAACAAGGAAAGGCTTCCAGAGACAGAAAAGACAAGCTGCTGAGTGAACTAGCTTAAAAAGGCACATTCCCCTTTAAGAATTAGCTACTGTCTAGAAAGGAAAATAAGGAACACAGCCGGCACTTAAGGAAGAAAAAAAAATGTCAGTACTGGCTGCCGGCTAAGGCAACCTCCCCAAATGGCTCCATTCATAAGTAAAGGAATGCTACAGGCAAAATCTATTCAGGAGAAAAATACTTCAAAATCCTTTCCCTCAGTAAGGCATATGATAAAGTATATCACAACCTACTACTTGATAAAATAGAAAAATGTGGGTTAGATAACATCACCACCAGATGGATCCATAGCTGGCTGACTGGCCGTACTCAGCATGTGGTCCTCAATGGAACCGCAACTAAATGGAGGGAAATGTGTAGTGGGGTGCCCCAAGGCTCTGTTCTGGGCCCAGTGCTCTTCAACATCTTCATTAACGATATGGACAAGGGGATAGATGGGGAACTCATCAAATTTGCAGACGACACAAGCTGGCAGGAATAGCCAACAATCCAGAAGACAGGCTTAAGATACAGGAGGATCTGGACAGACTTGAACACTGGGCGCTATCTAACAAAATGAAATTCAATGGTGAAAAAAGTAAGGTTCTACATTTAGGCAAGAAAAAACAAATGTACAGGTATAGTATAGGGGGTACTTTGCTCAATAGTAGTAACTGTGAGAGGGACCTCAGAGTCCTAGTGGACAGTCACTTAAATATAAGCCAGCAATGTGCTGAAGCTACCAAAAAGGCCAACACAGTGCTGGGCTGCATTAAAAGAGGGATAGAATCAAGATCACGTGAAGTATTAATATCACTTTACAATGCCTTGGTAAGGCCACACTTGGAATACTGCATCCAATTTTGGTCACCACGGTGTAAAAAAGATGTTGAGACTGTAGAAAGAGTACAGAGAAGCAACAAAGATGATTAAGTGACTGGAGGCTAAAGCATATAAGGAACAGTTGATGGAATTGGGTATATCTAGTTTAATGAAGAGAAGGACGAGGGGGGGACATGATAGCAGTGTTCCAATATCTCAAGGGTTGCCACAAAGAAGAGGGAGTCAAGCTATTTTCCAAGGCGCCTGAAGGCAGGACAAGAAGCAACGGATGGAAACTAATCAAGGAGAGAAGCAACCTAGAACTAAGGACAAACTTCCTGACAATTAGAACAGTTAACCAGTAGAACAACCTGCCTCCAGAAGTGGTGAATGCTCCAACACTGGAAGTTTTTAAGAAAAGACTGGACAGCCATTTCTCTGAAATGGTATAGGGTTTCATGCCTGAGCAGGGGATTGGACTCAATGACCTCCAAGATCCCTTCCAACTTTATTATTATTATTATTATTATTATTATTATTATTATTATTATTATTGTTGTTGTTGTTGTTGTTGTTGTTGTTGTTGTTGTTTATTTATTTATTTATGAGACTTATATACCGCTTTAAGTGCAAGCACTCTCTAAGTGGTGTACACCAGTAAGCAATGTATGTATATATTTACATTGCCCCCAACAATCTGGGTCCTCATTTTACCTACCCCGGAAGGATGGAAGGCTGAGTCAACCTTGAGCCGGTGAGATTTGAACTGCTGACCTGCTGAACACAGTCAGCTAAAGTGGCCTGCAGTACTGTTGTTGTTGTTGTTGTTGTTGTTGTTGTTGTTGTTGTTGTTGTATTTCATAAACATGGTTAAAAGCTCTAATACTTCAAAGAAGAGAAATGAAACAGGACCACAAAGTGATTCAAAGAAAAATAGTGCCCACATTTTTTTCCAGATGGCACATCTTTCCATTAGAATGCACACGGGCAATCTTGTTTGTGAATTTTTCTGACCCAGAATAGAAGCAAAAATGATCCAAGGAAAGCTGCGTAGAATTCATTGTAATTTTCATTTTCCATTTTAAACATCAGAGCAGGAATGACCCCAAGTCTACCTACAATGAAGAGAATCTGGCTCGGTGTATGTTTGATTTTTTTGCTGCTGGGACAGAGACAAGCTTTGCTACTCTGCAGTGGGCACTGCTCCTCTTGACCAATCATCCCGACATCCAAGGTGAGCGAAATCTGGGCGGTGGATACAAGGGCCATGCTCAGGTTCTAGAACCCAGAGAAATTATTTGAAGGTATTTGAAATATTAAGGGCTACTGAATGATGAACTGAATCTATTCTTCATAATAATTTTCCTATGTGGATTCCTGAACCAAAAATTATGAACACGAGTTTAGCGGGATTAAAGGAAAGCAGAGAATCTACGTAAGGAGAGCCTTCTTTGATATCCTTAATAAAATATTGAGTGAGGAACTAAAAACTAAAGATCAGTACAAATCTGAAACATTTAACCCAGTGTAAATGCAGAAATCTACCAAGGTTTTTAGTTTTGGTGCTTAGTTCCAGTCTAAACTGCATACAAAAGACCCAATTAGAGTAGAGTATAAAAAGTTAGGAGGGTTGTACAACAATTGGATCCATATTATATTCTAGACAATGGTGGAACATTTTTTTAATAGAATCAGATTTCCAATTGATTGGGATTGAATTCTGGAGACTGACTTGACTGAAGGAGAGTCAGATATTTTACATATGCATTCCTTCATGATTCTCAAAAGAAGGATGGCTATTCGACCTATTAAAGAATCACCAAGGATTGAAACTGGAAAATATTAATAATGATGATGAAGAAGAAGAAGAAGTGAAGCAGAATAGAAAATGAAACCCAACTTTGATTTCCATCATTTTTTTCTCTAGAGAAAGTCCAGAAGGAGATTGAAGATGTGTTTGGCTTATCGGGGTCAATTTCCTATCAGGATCGGAAGAAGCTGCCCTACACCAATGCTGTGATTCATGAAATGCAGCGCGTAAAATATGTCTTACTAATGGGGGTTCCCAGGCAAAGCACAAAGGATGTGAACATGAGGGGTTATCACATCCCAAAGGTGAGAAATGTATTCAGGCTGCATTCCACTGATCCAACGTGAAAGGAAAAGCAAAATACGGCACTTGGATAAAAGCTCTCTATTCAGAAAGTGCCAATGTAGTCATGCAAAAAGGAATGGGCAAGAATAGCAAACTTTTTTGAGTCTGAATTTAAATCCAAACACATCTCAGATTTTAAAGTTACAACCTTAAATGTTTTCTATTTATCCTAGGAAGATGGTAAGAGATTAAGGCTGAACATAAGTTCCAAATTGTATTCATGCCTGACCATGTTTCTTTGTCCATTTCTTGATGTGATAAATATACACCCAGATCTTTGTTTTAATGGAAGGGAGGGGAGAAAGGAAGCTAAACAATTGAGAATCTACTGTTCACAGAATCTGCTTTGGAAATGAACAAATAAGGGTCCATAAAGACAAGCTAAAACCAAATGCTTTATTTATTGAATTATTTTGGCTGTTTCCCTTATGAAACTCCTCTGTTTAGTCATCTCTATTTTTACAGGGGAGCCTTATTATATCAGACCTGTGCTCTGTTCTTCTTGATCCTGAACAATGGGAGACACCTGAAGAATTCAACCCAAATCACTTTTTAGATAAGGATGGGAAGTTCATTGAACGGGAAGAGTTTCTGCCCTTCGGAATAGGTACGTCCATGAGCCCAAAGTAGTTTATAACAAATAAATTTCCACCAGCGCTACTCCTGAGTTTTTTTTGGGCAACTAACTCCCACAATTCAACTTACTCTTTATGGTGCCAGTTAGTTTCCACAGTTTGCTCACCTGCCCCAGCCTCAGTGATCTAATCATATAGTAATCTATGAGGATATCTACCTGGATATAATCTTCTGGGTATATTCCAATACGGAAGGTTGTAATCACTGGGCCTTGAAAGCCCAATGACAACTGATGGCCCAGAAAAATACATGGTCAATAAACTGAAAATAACTGAGGAAGGAGAATTAGGTCTCCCAAATTCAAGTTTCTGGCATAGCTCATTTGCCCAGAGAACCAAAATAGATTGAGTGTCATAGGCTGATAAAGCCCCAGGTGGAATGGATCAGTTTTATCCAAATCCATCTTGGGTTGTAAGATCATAGCTTCTTTGATTACCTGCAATATTTGAGGATAACTCTATAATCATACAGTTAGATGATGCTGGGAGGGGGAATGTGAACGAGAATCCAGGTAGACATAACAACACCAAACCTAGCATGAGAAACAATGTTATTGTAACCACAGCTGATAAGGAATTGGCAGGCTGGAGAACTGGAGATGAAGCCCACGCTTCAAGCTAATTGGGGAATGTGATTTATAACTGTTAATTGGAGGAGGGAATTGTGCTTTGACACTATGTGCTCAGGGAAGGGGAATTCAGTTTTTTGCTTCGCTTCTGCAATGCCGATGTTAAGCTACTCAAAATAAAGATTCTTTAAGGTAAACAATGCCTCAAAGTGCTTTTGATGAGTTTCATCTGTCGGAATCATGACATCTACTGGTAAAAAGAAATTTATAGTTTTGTTAAAACTGAGCCATCTCCGTATTTCACAAATCAGAGAGGACTTCACAGTAAATGAGACATAACATTCCTTTGATGTATTCTTTCCAGATCTATCAGGTATCTTGACCACAGTATTTTGGTGTCCCTTCATCCCTGCAGAATATGATCTGCAGAAGGTCCTCTCCAATTTCTGGAGCTGTTGATTTCCATCCCTTCAGAACTGCTTCCACATCTGTCCATGGCAATAAGAATTATCCAAAGCTGGTTCTTCTTCAGAGACAAACAAAATATCAAAGCCGAATAGTAGCTGGGACAGATCCATGGCAATCACAGCCAAACTGACCTCCTGGACCATTCCTGAATTGACAATCTGCCCATAAATATGAAAATTTCTTAGGAAAAGTAGTCAAAGACAGTCTAATGCCACATTGGCAATTACTCTGATGGGACCAAATTGAAAGGTGGCCCCACTGAAGACTGTCAAAAAACAGAAAAAAAGGGAAGAAAGCATCTCTAGAAATTGAATCTGTTAGAAGATTCTAGGATTCAGCATGGAAATCTGCTTTCGCTGTTCCAAATCTTTTCAGATTTCCTTGCTGGTGGGGATATATATGCAGAACAGATTATTATTCCCTTTATGCTTTGTCTCATCTTCAGGTCAGCGTGCATGTGTGGGAGAGCAGCTGGCAAGAGTTGAGATCTTCATCTTTCTGACCAGCCTGTTGAGGGCCTTCAGCTTCCGGTTGCCTGAAGGAGTGAAAGAACTCAATGAAGCCCCTGTTGTAAACGCGACAATACATCCACACCCTTACAAACTGTGTGCTATTCCCACACATTCTTAAACTTAAACACCATAAAAAATGTAACACTAATTATAGAATAGCTTTTCAGTATGTTACTGTTTCCTATATACCAATTCACTTATGTTTTGCTTCCATTGATTCCACATGTAAATGTCTTCAACCCATTGGTGGGTCAACTGGGTCAACAAAAGACCAGAAAGCTATGTATGAACAGTATGCAAAGGAAGCTTGTTACTCTTTACCTTTTTGGTGCCAATAAAACATATTACTGTCAATTTACTCATAGTGTCCCTTTTTGTGTTTTTAAAATTCCCCCTATAGGCTCCACATTAACCAGCTAGAGCAAACTTCACAGATGGTCCAAAATGATACTCTACTAGAAGGTATGAAATGCTGCTGACAGGATTAATGGAAGAAGAAAGGATGTGAAATCCATCCACATCCCAGGGAAAAACATCCACAAGAGCAAGCAATGCATTTTTTTTACCTCATATTGAGGGCTGAACCTGGACTGGATCCAAATATCTCTTTCATCAAGATCTTTCTGTAGTTAACAGCCTAATCACTTTCTCTCCAACCTTCCCCAAAAGCATAGGATACGGGTTTTGGCAGTACAAATTCTGCTTGAGGATCTGTGACCATTCTAGTAAACTTTCTCCTTTCACCAGGACTACAACATTAGAGTCTGTGGAAATTAATGTCAGGTGCAAGCAAAGAGATCCACATGTATAGACTTCAAAGTAGCTCCACCTTTATTTTCTGTCAATTTTAAAGGAATCTGAGATATGGTTTGAGCTCCGAGCATGGCAATTTGGTTGCAAATATTTTGTCACAATTCGAGGAGACATCATCAGTGGGCTTTGGATAATATTCAAGCACATTTCCTACAGGAATCTCTCCAGACTGCTTTCCTTTTCTTGGAAACAGAGACATAGGGTTCTCTGGAAGTGGATTGATCCTCAAGAAGAGATTTAAGCAAAAGTCACTTTCAGATTGGGCCACGGATTACACAGCTGTGGTGGTGACCCAATTGTTAGACAGACATTGCTAAGACTTTATTGTTATCTCCCGATACTTTGATGCTTGGATTAATCACACAATCTTTTAATTAATAAGAGCTACTGCAGAATCTATTACAACAACCCTTCGTTATTAGCAATTTGTTTTAGTTGTAAAAGGCAACACAGATCCAGAAATAGTCTTCCAACAGCATGAAGACATGCCATCATTGGAAAAGAAAACTGAGTGAGATTTTCTTTTCCATGATAATGTCCTGATGATGGACTTATAAGTGTATGCACGATACATAATCCTGGACTAGATAATATCACTTGTGAGCCACACATTTCTCCTTTCTATTCAGATAGACTTTATGGACATATAATGTACCATGATATTTTAATAATTCTGGCATAATATCTTATTAGGGACACTGCCAAGCACCATCAAAATCAGAAGATCCAGGCAGTTCAAATGGTTATATGGATTTATTTGAAGCTTAATCCTCTACAAGAATCTGAACTACTGATAGCCAAAGCAAATTAGCAGTAGGTAAGAATCACAGGAATTCAAGGCTGAATGGACATAGATCTCTTGTGGGCATGAAGCGACTCATGACTGATGACGCATTTGACATCTCCCTCTTGAGAAGTCTGGTTATCTCCTACAGACATACTGGGTTATACAGCCCTTGGTTTTTGTTTGTTTGTTTGTTTTTAAAACCTTTGCTCACTAGAGAGCAGATTCTTTCTCCTTTACTTAAATGAGGCTAAACATCTATCTGCTGAAGATGATTTAAGTTGTATTTCTGCATGAACAATCAGTTGAAATTGATAACCTAAATGGTCACTTCTAATTCTGCAATTCTATAACAACGAAAGAGCCTGCTGAGGGCCTTCAGAATCCGGTTGCTTGAAGGAGTGAAAGAACTCAATGAAGTATCTGTTGTAAACATGTCACTGCACCCACGGCCTTACAAACTGTATGCTATTCCCACACAGGCTTAAACCTAAACACCATAGAAAACATAAAACTAATAGATATTCAGTATGATCAATTTTTACTCAACATTGAAACCTATTCAACCTGTCAAACCTGACTCGACTTGAAGCTTAAGCAAGAACGATTCACATCTCCATTTTATGAGAAAGATAGTCTTTACTAGAGATCAAATATAGTAAGGCAAAGTCAGATCTAAGGTTCGTGCACCAAATTCTCCAGCATAGTTCCCTCTTCCCAGAATCCACTCCACCCATGGCCCTGGATTGTCCAATCATATTCAAACTAGACGTTGTTGCAACAGCCATCCCTGGTATGCAGCTACATTCCTTCACAGATGGTTGTCTATGAATTCGAGTCTCCAGCAGGTAGAGTGAACTGTGGGATCCTCCTTTCAGCTTCCCTTCCCCTATATCTCCTGGCAGACTGGCACCAAAGCAAAGGTGTAAGGTGAATGTGAGGTGGCAGTTGCTGTATTTATACAATATATCTAACCAGGTCAACAAAAGAGCAGGAGGTTATCTCTGAACAATATGCTAAGCTTTTTGTGTTTTGCTTTTGTAAAGTTTCTCCTTAATTCCAGGTTGCTTCTCTTTTTCATTAGTATCCACCCACTTTTTCTTGCCCTGCTCTCTGGTGCTTTGGAAAATAAGTTGATCCCCCTCTTCTTTGTGGCAAACCCTCAAATACTGGAATGCTGCTATCATGTTACCCCTAGTCCTTCTTTTCTCTAGACTGGCCATACCCAATTTCTGCAACCATTCTTCTTATGTTTTAGTCTCCAGTTTTTAACCAATTTTGTTGCTCTTACTCTTTCATTCTATCTTACATACACCTCACCAATTTCAATCAAATATTATTATACTAAAACCAAGAGAAGGTTGCTCTGTTCCAGTGTAATAGCAGATTACAAGAATAATCAATAGCCACAGTCACACATAAAAAGAACTTTTTTCTAGAGAATAAGTTGTGAAAATATAGAACACGGAAAATTCAAATTTTCTAGAGAAATACTCATTTTAATTGCCAGTGCCTGTAAATCATTTTGTTTACATCATACTCTTTTTTCCTGTGCTATGTATATATTACCACAAATTGGAAGAGTTTGATGGTTACACTATGAAGGTAGAATTCCTTCCTGTTTGCATTTATCCTTCCTTTCCCTAAATCGTCTAAGAAGGCATCTTCTGCTTGGTATGAGAATTCTTCTATGATGCTGGTCATTCCTTCTTTCACAGCTTTGAATCCACACAGCACTATCATAAGTTGTTGCCCAAACCACATGTTGTATATATTTCCATATTGTTTTACACACTGTCAAGTGAATCGAGGATGAGAAATGTTACAACCAAATACACAGATGATTCCCATTTAATACTGTATGTCATCTACAGGTGTTCCTAAATGCTGAATTCTAAGACTTTTTCCCATATGTAAGTCCCTGCTCTTTAGGATTCTTTTTTGTAGGAAGCAGTATCGGATCCCGGGTAGAGAAGTAACCAAACTACATAGGAGGGGGGGGGGAAAGTGAGGAAAAAGAAGCAGAAAGTTAGATAAGGAAGACAGGAAGGATAAAGGATAAAGAGAAATTGGGGCAAGGAGAAAACACCAGCAAACAGGAGTGCAGCGAATGAATGACTGCATGTGGCGTCGAGACAGCCGGCCACAGAGGACGAGAGAGCCAGCTCTGGACCATAGCTAAGCAGCCCAACGCTTAGGCAATGGAGAGCAGTGAACTGGTGGGTCACAACATTTATTCAACAATTGCCTAGGCCCACATCCTGTTCAAGGAAGGCTAACCCAGGCCCAGCAAAGCAGAGACAGCCCGACTCCCACAGCCCTCTCCCTGCCTCCTTCCAGCCCCACAGCCCTTCCCAGGGGAGAATTACCTCAGGTGGAGGATCCATAAGTGTTCCCTCCCCAGCAAGAGCAGCAGCCTCCTCCCCCACCTCCTGCTAGCCTGGCCCGGCAAAGGACAAAAGGCCCACAGCAATCCTTCTTTGACTGTGAGGAATCAGAAGTGGCAAAACCTGAGGGGACAGGGGGAGGAACGAAGCAGCAGCAGAAGCAACAGAGAGACTTCAAGAGCCAGAGGCCTCTCTGATTTCTCAAGATGAATGGCCAGCTGAGAGGAGCAGATCAGGCAGAGCAGCTGAGGCGACTGGAAAGCTGAATGGAGGCTAATCAAAATAACTAGACCCACAGATTAATATCCCCCTCCTCCTCCACATTGGAATGAATGATACTACAAACAACCTGAGTGCAATAGTGAAAGACTACAAACAACTAGACAACAAAGTTAAGAAGCTAGGAGCACAAGTAGTGTTCTCGTCAGTGCTCCCAACAAAAGGCCAACACCCATTGAGGGAAAAAAGAATTTTAGAAATAAACCACTGGCTAAAGGGTTGGTATCGGCAAGAAAACTTTGGTTTCCTGAATCACGGACTGCATTTTCTACACGAGGGACTCTTGGCAAGAGATGGGCTACACCTCCCAAAAACAGGCAACAATGTACTTGGAAAAAGACTGGCCCAACTCATCAGGAGGTTTTTAAATTAAAACTGAGGTGGGGAGAGTGACCAATCTCTAGCATCTCTAGAACCCAAAACCAATCATAAATCCTAAGAGAACAAACAAAACAACAAGGTAGGTAGTGTTGAGAAAAAAGAAAAAGTCAAACAACAATCAGGAGACACAGGAAACACTCCCATGGACAGGCATAAAAGCCTTAAATGCTTATACACAAATGCTCAAAGCTTGGGGAACAAACAGGGCGAACTAGAAGCAAGAGTACACGAGGGAGGCTATAACATAGATGGCATAACAAAAACCTGGCGGGACAAAACCCATGAATGGAATGGATAGTTGGATGGATACAAATTGTTCAAAAGAAACAGGTCTACAGAAAGAGGAGGGGGAGTTGCACTATATGTAAGAGAACACTACACATCTCAGAAATGCACATAACCCAAGAAAAAATATCTCCAGAATTTATATGGGTCAATATAAAAGAGAAAAAAAGTGACATTACCATAGGTGTATATTACAGGCCACCCTACCAACCAGAAGAAACAGATGAACTCTTTGCCAACCAGTTAACAAATGCATGCAGGAAGCACACCACAGTAGTAATGGGAGACTTCAACTATCCAGATATCAACTGGGAGACAAACTCTGCAATGAGCGGGAGATAAAACAGATTCCTATCCAACCTAGCCGACAACTTTGTCACCCAAAAGGTAGAGGAGGGAACTAGGCGCAAAGCTATACTGGACTTAATT